TAAAGAGATTAATTGTTTTTCTATTCATTTATAATTTTTTATTAAATAATTAATTATAATATTTAAAAATATTTATTTATAAATTAATTTTAATATTGTTATGTTATCAAAATTAATTAATTATTTATTTATTTATTTTTAATAATTAAATTAAAATTAAAATTAAATAAATTGTGTGGCATTAACAAATGGTTGTATGACCATAATTACTACCGTAAATATGAGCCTCCCTCTCTTAAAATCTATGGTTAAATTTTTATGTATTCAATTCAAGTTGGACGGCAAAAAATGCATTCTGTTTATATATTCCCTCAAACTTGTTTTCGAGCCAAATAGGTCCCTCCAATTTTTGGGCTGGGGCAAATTGGATGGACAGCAATGTTTAACTCCGATGTTCGGCTTTTCAAAATTTTAGAACGACCCTGAATACTTCAAATCTTTTCAAAAACACCCTTAAATAGCACAATTGGACTCATTTTTTCACTTTCATGATCATCATCTTTTCTAGTAGTATGTTTGAGTTGAGGGGAGGGATTTTTCATTTAAATAAATTAATTAATTAAAAGAAAAAATAAAGTAAAAGAAATTTTCTTCCTTCCCTCCAATTTTTTGATAACCAAAGAGAAAATTTTTTTTCCATTCCCCCCATTCCCCTCAACCCTAACATACTATAAATACCACTAAGAGGGACGGATATCTATCTAGACCAAAAAATACATACAAATTCACCTTCTTCTTTTTTTTTTCTAATCAAGTTATCTTTAAATTAGTATGCATGTATCTCAAAATTAATTTTTTTAATGCAATTAAGCATTCACAATAACATTAAAAGTTATATGATCTAGGTGGAATCCAACTTTGTTAATGGGATAGAACGAGATAGGGGGTTTAGATTAGTGTGAACGGTCCAAATAAAAGGGTTGAAACATTGGATTATGAAACAATATAATGGATCTGATCAAATAAAACATGAAGTTGTGCCTTTTGTGTTAGTTTGCTTAGGGCTTAATATAATGTCTGATACCTAATTAACAGACAAAACCAAGAAAAAATAATCGTAGGGTTGGTCCAAATCATCTTTTAATTATATGGTAATGATGATTTGTTTATTTGCTTTGACAGCTGAGCCATTACTTAATAGCATCCTAATAAAGACAACTCGCCATGCATAGGTATAATTGGACACCTCTTTGTGGGTTGACAACAGTGTATTTCCTTATTGGGCCTCCTTTTTAGCCTTGGATCGGTGGATCCAATTCGATTATTGGGTCAAAGCGGTTCTACGGGCTCTCTTTGAGCTCCAAAGATTCTTATTTGTAAGAAATACGGGCTTTTGCAAGCTCCAATATCTAACAAAATAAAGCCCAAGACCATTCTCAGGTCCTCCCAAACCCAAGGGCAGATTTTCACATAGATACAAGCCCAAAATAAAGCATCATACGTTCATCCGTTCTATTTTAAGCATATGGCCAATGTATGTAACAAACATAGTTGGAAGACCATTTTTTTTTCTAACAAAATCTTGGAGGAGAAAAAAAAGAAAAGAAAAGAAAAGAAAACTATCCATCCATAAACTAATTAGGTTATGTTTAGTATGATTGTAGTTTTAGGTTTTTGGTTTTGATTTTTATAAATTCTATAATTATTGGAAACTAAAATTAAAAATTAGAAATTTATTTAAAACAAATTTTAACATTAACAATTAAAAATATTTATTTATTTAAAATATATAAATTATTCTTATTCTTATTTTTCTCTAACAATTATAATAACATACTAGAGGACACACTTGAATAGAATATATAAAAGAGAATAACCCTCTATTTTCTTAAATTCCTCTTTACCCAATTTAAAATTTAAATTGAAAGTTTTTAATTTAGATTCTTAAATTCTTATCCATCCCTTTTTTCTAAATTCCTTTTTACCTAATTTAAGGTTTAAACTAAAAGCCTTCTAATTTTAAATCTTTAATTTGAAAATCTTAAACTCTTAATCATTCAATTACCCCTTAAAAAGATCATAATCCATAGTCTATCATTCAAAGAGAAATTAATCTTTAAGTCGACAAAAATTTACTTAGAGTAACACTTTTTCAGAAAGTGGAAGGAAACTCTTTTTTCTTTTATTTTTAGACTACTAAAACCCATAAACTTATAAATATAATATCGAGATCATTTACTTTATCACTAATCCAAAACTTAATTTATCGAGATCATTAACACCGAAGCGGCTGGTACTGCAACCAGGAAAGCAGTGTTCTGCTTTCTTATAATCGAGATTTACCTTGCTCCACCGGTGCACTCTGCAATAAACAGCAGCAGACATCATTAGGAAGCAATTACAGTTGCACCATAGCAGCCATTAAGTCATCAGTCAATTACTTTTTTACCGAAAAAATGTGTAGACAAATATGCGAATTTTGTTAATTTTTCTGTTTAAAAATACAAACTTTACTGGTTTTTAAATAAGGTGATAAACTTTTAATTTTATCTATTTAAGGATGTCAAATTTACATTTTTTTATTTAAGGATTAATTAAATGATGATACTTACGTATTAAATGGCTTTTTTAACTATTCAATTAACAAAAAACACAAAGTTTGTATCATTTATTTGCACATTTTCTCCTTTTCTACCACACAAAATGGATACAGAAATACAGATTTTTTTTATTTTTTATTTTTAGAGTAGCTATTTTAGGGGAAACTGATCTATAAAATTCTTCTTTGAGGTTTTTTTGTTTGAATTAGGTGGTAATGGAGATTTTCTGGTATTTTTATGCCCTAGTACATTATCCAAATCCTAAGTAACTGAGGAACTTTGCACCAAAGCTACCCATTAGTTGCCAAGCCGTTCCATAACACAAAAGAGTGAGTATAGATTCATATTAACTGCCCTAGTTGAAGATTTGTGACAGAGAAAACCAATTGTGAGACCTAAGCAGCTTATAATGGAGCAAACAAAATAATGTCAGTCTTTTCATGGTTCACAAGATGCAATCACCATATAAGAAGTTTTGTGTTTCTTACCAAAGGAGCGCCTTTGACAGCTCTTCCTGCTAAGAAGGTACAAGGCTTGAAAAATTCTCCATAAGTTCTTGACCATTCCTCCAATCTTGAATAAATATAATTTGATCCATAAGAATCTGCCCAAAACATGATTCCTCCCCTGATAAAAATTGACATAATCAATTAAAGCAGGAAACCATAGGGATTAAGCAGGTCTAAAATATTCGTAAAATTACAAACCTGTATGGTGGAAAACCCATGCCCATAACAGATGCAATGTCAAGGTCTGCTGCTTTGACTGCTATTCCTTCAGCAAAAACTCGACAGGCCTCATTTACCACTGGGAAGAATATCATCTCAATAATGTCCTTTTCTGGTAACTTCACAAACTGTATCCAAGTGTAATCCCAAAAAAATTAAGAGGGAGAGGTCCACGTCACAATTAATAATGTCTTACTTTCCACAATTTATAATTTATAATCAGTATATTGCAATTTAAGTATTAGTTCCAATCAAAGCACCTGATTTAGTAAACAGGTATGACACTAAACCTAAAAGTTATAGACAGAGAAAAGAGACCTTAGGGTCAATGGATACATCAGAAATGCTCCTCGCCTTTTCAATATACTTTTTCAGTTCAGGATCTGGACTAGCTTTGCGTTTATCATCATACAAATAAAACCCCTTCCGAGAGGTTTCACCTGAGACAAAT